TCCTTGTGAAGTTAAGAAAGGTCTTGCTGCTCTCCCTTCACCTCCTTTCACCTCCCCTCCACCTCAGGATGAGGTGCTGGCTGCCTCCTTCCCTTAGCTTTTAGTTTTCTGGCTATAAAAATTATATAAGACCTACCTGAGATAATTAAATTATTAGTATTCCTTCCACACTTTGAAAACCAGATGAAAGAAATACTTGTCCAAATGCAGGAGACCATCTATGCAAGAGGTTTGAAACAGTCCAATAGTAACATATATTTATGTGTGTGAAAAAAGAAGTCTTGCTTAGCTGTTATGGATATATCTTGCTTGGAAAACTGTTTTGGGTTCAAAATGACTGCAGTTTACTGGCTGTTAGATTTGGAAGACAAATCCCCAATCTGAAAATATGTAGCTTGAATTTTCCTTATCTTAAATTCCGGTATTTTTGCACATATCTAAGCTGATGGATCACCTCAAGCTTCAGAGGTGAACTTTTTGATGACAGAAGATGCAGGCCCTGCATTGACCAGAGCTGTTGAGGTAATTCAGCACTGTTTTGCTGATCACTGGCATTCTCCTTGAAGGGATCACTTTTTGTGTCTGGCTGGGAGCAGTGCTGCTCTGTGTTGAGCCCACCTGGCCATGAGTCAGTTCAGCCTGCCTCCGGAGTAGTAGATGAATGTGAAAGATTTTTTTTTTTTCTTGTGGATGCAGGCACAGCTTTGCTGCTATTGGTTAGTGGTGTGTGTTTGTGGGGCAACTATCTTCCAGTGACTGCCAGACTAGAAACATCTGGAGTGCAAACTGGCTGGTTCCTCATTTTGTGGCTGTGGACTGCTTCATGCAGCTTTGTGCTGTGAAAGATGGGAAACCAGGCTTAGCCAAGAGAGCGAGCTGCTTAGCAGACGCTTGCTGTCATACAAATTAACCACAGCTTTTGCATCTTGGAGTGCTGCCAGAGCACAGAACCAGCTATTGCATTAAATGTCTACCACCAGTCATGATCTAAACTGAAAGTGAGAAGATTAATCCCTCTTCTAGCATTACCTTAGCAGTTAGCGCTTTTTGTGGTGTTAAATGTGTTTTTCATCTTTAAACCCAAACCATGAAATACAGCTCTGGGTTTCAGATAAATGGGTGTGCAGGAAGAAGGGAAAAGTCTTAATTTAGTGAGGGGAAAACATCATCCATGTGCAGGAGGTATCTTGCTTTAAAGTGGAAAGAGAGGCTAATTTTTATTAGTGCTGCCCATCTGGTGCATAGCAATGAATACCTTCAGAACTTCAGAATATTTAAAATAATCTTAGACCTATATTATATTATACACAAGAGTAGATACAATTGGTTTGAGCTATTAATGGGTTATAAGAGCAATAGCATTGGATAAGCAGCATCTTTGACTTTACACAGCCCCAACCAAGATTTGAAATTCTTAATTGTACTGATGTACTTTGACTAATGAAAATGAAACACAGTACTTTTTCCTTGCCTGAAAATATTTCCTTCTGAAATTTTCCTGAGTTGCAGAGTTCTTACTTAAGAAGTAACTCACTTGAATGTGAAGTAAACAACTGAAATTTACGAAACTCATACTTTGGTAAGTTAGGATAGAAAGTGAGGATATAAAGTTGCTTTGAGTTGCTGGTGTTCGTTATGTGTGGGATATTTGACACCAGAAAGTCTGTTTTGAATTTGACTGGTAACCTTGGCTGTTCACAGCCCTTGCTGCTGACTTCTGTTTGTTCTGTTCTCTGTAATCTTTACTCTTAGCCAAGATCAGTATCGTCAAAGATTTAATTTTTTGGAGTTACTCTATGATGGCTGGAAACACTAAATCACAAAATCATTTATGTTTCTTTTAGAGTTTAGCTTTCCTGGTTGAGCAGCGAAGTAAGAAATTTGATCCTGGTTCTCCAATAGACAATGAAAAATCTGAAAAAAATTGGTTTAATTAATTTCAGGATTTCACAGGGAAGGAGATATCAACATCTTGCTGGTAATTTTTAGCAGTTCTGCTATTGGTAGTACTGTCCCTGTAGTAGGAATGACACGTGTTAGGATTCTTCCTAATCTTTACAGGGCTGCTACAAAGGTTTCCTCTCATTCTTGCAGGATTTACTCTTTGGTGTGCGGAGTTACAAAGAGCTCTTTTTTTTGTTTGTTTGTTTCCAGCAGCAGCTCCAGCAGTGCTTTTCTGTTTCTCTTCTGCGAGGGGAATGTGATGTGCAGAGGTCGAGTAGTAATGTGTACTTGCCTAGAAATAACGTGCTGAGTTTGTAACTGCTGGAGAAAATAATTTGGCACGGAGCTATTTCCGTGCACCTCCCCAGTGCCGAGAACAATCAGGCGCCAGCTGAAGGCAGCGGCTGCCAAAAGCGCATTTGGATGAGGTGGGCGTTCCTGGGTGGCACAGTCATGTGTTAACAAGTGTGACTGCATCACTAAAACAAATGTATTTTTGAGTCCCCAAGCTCTCCGTAGGGGTGCGCCGTCCTCAGGAGGAAAGGACACCAGTAAAGCATCTGGCAGGGAGGAAAGGCAAAGCAATGAGGGCAGCACAACGAGGTGTATCTGACTGCTTGTTTGTAAAAACCATCCACCTGAGCCGCATGTTGTGTTCACTGCTGCTTCACGGACAATTCTCTCTGAAAGCTGAAGTGGGAGTGGGTCAGGTGCTCCAAATCCAGTTCTCCGGGTGTTGGAAAAAGTCTAAACTGATGGGTGGGCAGCAAACAGCAATGGGGAGGGCAGCTGCAGCAGTGACAGGGACCCAGGAAGTTTTGTGCAAACTCAGGAGGACATGTAAACCCTTTCCCTGAAATACACAGAGTCTTCTGGCAGAGGTGGGAAACCAGACACTTTTTTTTTTCTCTTTGCTGAGACTGAACTCTCACAGGGCACAGAGCTACTTGCAAAAAAAAAATCTTAGCTCCAGTGCTTAAAATTGTGCTCCTTGGACCTGGTGCTAAGGTCCAGTGGAAGCCTGTGTGCTTCACAGGGAGGGAAAGCAGCATCCTGCAGACATCTTAATGTCTATCTATTTTGAAAGGGGAATTCTTGTATTTTTTCTGGATGCATCACATGCATGGGTAAATGCTAAGGATGAAATGATAGTGTGTGGTGCTGTGTGGGGAAGTGTTTGGCACAGTGGGTTCTGTGAGGGAACGAGTGATGAGTCGCAGTCAGACACCAAGAAATGATGGTCCACAAGCCGCAAGTTTTAATGGAATAACTTCCCACTTGTTTGATCAGATTTCTTGTAGTTGCCTCTCCCACTGCTGTGCTGAAGGGTGAGCAGATACAGCTCAGTGAAAACAGTACAGAAGAAACCACCCTGCATCTTGAGAAATGTTTAGCAGCTTAATTAGTTTCAGCGTATAATACTGTTAACAGTGCATAAATGACAGATATTTTCTGTTTATCTACATATGGTTCCTTCTTTCAGCTTCACCCATTATTATTTAAATGAGTGTTTTAAGTATCTTTTCTCCTGAAAAGCAGCCCCTATTTTTCCTTCCAATTTGATTTCACAAGATATTGTCAAACATCTTCCTAGTAAGAGGCTAAACAATATAGTCTGTACTCCAGCAGCCATAAAGGGAGAGGCAGGGGGAGAGGAATGGATTCCCCCAAGACACCCAGGGTTGTGACTCAGGAAATGTGGGAAACAGAGGTCTCCAAGAATGAACGATTTTGTGGGGTTTTCTGTGCTGCCTCCTGCTAATCTGCTAATCCTTTTGGAAAGCTAAAATTCATGGCTCTTTCTGGAGACAGCAGAGCACAGCTGATGCTGAGAGCAATTTTTTCCCTCAGCATCATGCAGCCAGTGCTGAGGTCATGGGGGCTGCAGAGGCTGTGCTCTGACTGCAATGGTAATAAAGCGTGCTGGCTTGCACTGAGCGTGAGCCAATTCCCCTCTGTCGCATCCCAGTATCTTCAAAATTTAGCTGTGCCACTGCTGTGCTAGGGCTCCATGGCATGACAAGGGAGCTTTCCATTAGATCCCTGGCTGTGTTAAAATGAACAGCAAATGCACTGTTTCTGCTAATTCTGAACAGCATTTCATTTGGACCTCGATGGGAAAGCAGAATACAGTAAGTTACAAGTGACAGAAATAAATTAGTTCAGTATCTTAAGTTTCAAACCTCGTCATCTTGCAGGAAACCCTTTTGACAGCTGTTGTGTCAGCTGGTAGCCAGTAGGGAAAATACAAAAATTATTACAAACTCCAGAGTTTGTAATACAGAGAGGAGAAGAGACAAATGACAGTGACTTTTTTCTCTAATACAAACCACTGAAAGTCTCTTGGAAAAACAATTGCAAGGGCCAGTGACACCTTTCCCCAACTAAAGGTGACCATGGTGCTGTCATTTCTCAGTTCCTTTGTGGTGTCCCTAGGCTGGTGGCCCAGGGGCCAAACTGGAGAACCTTTGCAGGAGGTTGCTGCTGCTGACAGTGTGGTTTGTGATCCCTGTAAGGAGTTTCAAGTCTCTGTTCCTGTGAGGCAGCACTGAATGTCTGACAAAGAATTTGAATCTGGGCTCTTAGTGACACAGCCTGAATCTGTTTGTCCTGAAAAGTGTAAAACCTGGGCTTTGGTGTGGCTCTTAACAGCTTCATGGCTTGGCATCTAGAGCATGTTGGTCAGGATTGGCCAAGCTGACATCTTTGGAAGGGGTTTGTTCATAGAGGTCATATTTGACTAAGTAACTTAGGGTGGGCTGGAATTCCTGTAATGCCTTGTTAACTCTGCTGGGAATGGGGATATGGATGGATGCTCTGGGGGAAGGAGGAGTTTAGAGGTGAGCTTCTCAGTGAGTGTCCCAGGTGTGCCGTGCATACTGAGGTCACTCCCTCTTCCCCTGCTGCAGAAGGTGCTGCACAGCCTTTTCCAGAGACCCATGCTGCCAGCACTGTGGTGCTTTCTCACTTGCTTGGGAAGGCAGCACAGCCCTGGTGCTTGGGGCAGTTGAGAAGAGGCTCAGGGGCATCAGGCTTCTCAGGATGGAGGGCTGAGCTGGAGCTGCTCCAGTCCTTCAAACCTTACTGAGCCACCCTCTGTCAGCAGTGCTCAGCCCTGGCATGAGCTGTGGCTGGGCTGGTGCTGCAGGTCACAGGCTCTGTGCCTGGCCAGGTGTGAGGACATGGGGAAAGGAGTGTCTCCTTGTCTCCTGGTTCTCTCCCCTCTAATATCTGCACAAGGAGAACCAGCTGCTCCTTATGAACCTTCCCTTTCCCTCACAAGCCGTGTCTCAGAGCACCAGGGACTCCGTGTACCCCGCTCAGTGGAGGTGCCCCAGATGTTTGGCTGTTTCCCTTGGGGTTATGCTCACATCTGCTCTGGGTGTGCAGTGGTAGGGGGCTCCCAACACTGGCTTGCTATGAAACTGGTAAGCCATGAGAGCCCTGTGCCTGCTGCTGGGATGCTGTGTAACACAGGGAAGTCCACCTATGGCACAAGGCAGGGCTGCAGTCACTGACTTAGGATGATGGTAGATATATTTAAAGCTACTACCCTTGGCTGAGAATGACTTGGCTCTATGCTGCAGGCCTGTGCCAGACTGTTAAAATCATGTTGTCATTCCATGGTGTATTTTCTATTTTATATCAGTAGGGTTTAAAATGTGTGTGTTGTTTTACTTAAGATTTCATTGATGACTGAGGGTTACTTTTTAAAAAGTTTTGTTTCTTCATCTACTTCAAGTGCATATTTCCTTCATATTTAAGGTAATACCTTATGCTTCAAGCTAGGCAGCTGTGCAAATCCCAACTGGATCAGAGCTACCTCTTTTTCTAGAGCAAAACCAATCCCAGATGATCCACCTCTTTAAAACTTGGGCAATTAATGCTCCCAATATTACCTATACAAAACAAGTCATTATAATGCAAATACAGAGTCCTGGTGCTTTGCCTTAAATACAACAAATGCCATCTCAGTTATATAAATTTATACAGGTTAAAAAACAATGAATGTGTTCTCCTTATATGAACAAAAGCTCTTAAAGGTATTGCCCGCACCGTACAAGCTTCTGGAAGGCTTTCTTGAAATCTTCATTAAAGATTGTGTAGATTAAAGGGTTAATAAGGGAGTTTATATATCCCAGCCATGCCAGGAAATTAGACATGTCCTCTGAGATGTGACATGTGTCACAGGTATTAACAACTACTTCTTTTACAAAAAATGGGAGCCAGCAGATCACAAATGCCCCCAGGATCAAACCCAGCGTCGTCGCTGCCTTTCGCTCTCTTGTGCTGGAGATTCTCTGTTTTTTCCAGGACTTCTCGTGCTTGGATTCAGACCTGGGACTTCGTAGGGTGATGTTGATTTTATCAGAGCTCACCAGGGGATCTGAAGTCTTCTCTGTTGTGCTGGGCATTGAAGCTGATTTGGTGCTTCTTTCACCTGTGTCCAAAAGGACTTGTCCGTTCACCCCCTCCTCCCTCACGATCCGGCTCACGCTTCTCCTGTGAAATGTCTTTGCTGCTTTGTAGATCTTGTAGTACAGGATCAGGATCAAGGCCAGCGGGATGTAGAAGGCGCCAAATGTGGAGTAAATGGTGAAAACGATGTGGTCGTGTTTGATGATGCATTCGTCCTCCCTGCTGGTTGTCTGGTGCCTCCAAAACAAAGGTGGCATGGAGATAAAAATGGATATGATCCATACAACTGCTATCATGATGCCAGCGTGCTTAGGTGTCCTTTTCCGGGCGTATTCCACGGCATCCGTGATCGCTCGGTACCGGTCCAAAGCAATGGCAGAGAGGTGCAGGATGGAACAAGTGCAGCACGTGATGTCCACGCTCAGCCAAATGTCACACACCACCTGCCCCATGATCCAGGTCTCCTTCACGATGTAGACAATGCTGAAGGGCATCACCAGCACTGCCACAAGGAAGTCAGTCACTGCAAGAGAGCAGATGAGATAGTTGGCGGGGTGGTGGAGCTTTCTTGTCACAATTATTGCAGTCATCACGAGAGAATTGATGGCCGTTGTCATTAGAGCCAGCACAGACAGGGTAATGGAAATGAGAATCTTGGATGTCGCCCATTTGAAAGGTTCTTCTGATGTACTGTTTTGTTCAGTTGTGTTTATTAAATCCATGTTCCCTTTTAAAGATGGTCTTTACCCGTAGCAGTAACCTGTTGGAAAAGTAAAAACATTAATGTGATGCACCCTTGATTATTGTCATGTTAAAAGACTGCAGACCCTAACCTTACAAGAAGTTCAGACTTATCATTACAAATTATTCTGACTCCAAACTCCAGCTTGGTTCCTTGAGTGGCTAAAAATACTTACTTCCCTTCCAGCTAGAAGCACTTATTCTGAGTGCTTTGTAGAGGAGTCCTGAAACTGGTTTAATGTGAACAACCTCATCCTAAAGTAAGCACTAATACTTCTTTTAGGCTCGTGCTGTCTGCTCCACTAAGCAATGTAATGACTGTTGAAAACATTAATGCAGCAGGCATAATGCTTATTTTCCCCATATAAACTCATTTTCCCCATCAATAAGTGACTCATTCCTCATGTATTAGCTAACCATGGGATTTCTTAACTGGGACATAGCTTTGAAAAGAAAATAGAAATGTGAAACATTGCCATATGCCCTGGGGTGACACCATACAAACAGGGGAAGAAAAAAATGGTGTGATCAAAGTGTCTTACGTCTTCCTCTTACGCATCTCTAAAATGAAATATCTTAATAGGTTTTAAAGCTTCAAATGGTTCACTCATTGGCTAAGTGAAATATTAGATGTACATTAGAGTCCTGAGAACATCTTTACTTTTCCTCAAGTTTTGCTGTTCTGTGGTTTCTGCCAAAGAAAACTGAAGAAAACTTGGGTGCTACTTGTTCTGTTAATGACTCTCTTTATGAAAATAGCCTAACTCCTCCTATGCCTTTGCAGGAAGGAAAATGGAGGGAAATACTGATGAAATAAGTTCTGGTTGTGTTCTGGGGATGTGCTCTTATCAAGAAGAGTTTCTGAGTACCCTGCAGAGTGCAGCTGAATTGGAGTTTCCAGCTTTTACTGTGAGTGACAAGCTCTGCTCTAAAGATCAGGTTTCCTTCTCTAGTGAGTGTTGACCTGCAATTTCTTGTGTAAGATCTACTTGATGAACACCTAAGTGGGGTTATCTTTCACAGGATTTTGAGTGTAGTGAGTGAGTTGCACTTGTGTTGCATTGGATGCCACAAGTAGGAAAATAGGTGAAATTAGCGAATATTTTTTTCTTTCAGAAATTTGATTTCATTAACATAATTAAAGCTTTTTGATATTACGCTGGAGTGGCTGAAAAAGAATCTTGTTTCCTGTTTATAACCTTGGACCCAACTCATTTACTTGGTTTGGTATTTTAACCCAGGCAGTGCTTAATATACTACTGACTGCTCAGGGATGTTTTTAGCACTGATTGACCAACATTTAATTGAATGGAAGCACAAGGAAAGGAAATATATTTTATGTGGTGATATTTGCACATGCTTAGCAGGTACTTGTCCTGTACATGAGCTGATCACCACATGTGTGTGCTTTCTGTGTTCCTTTCCCTGAACTTGAAATATACTTTACACATATAAAAATAGATCTTTCACCATGTCAGTGTCACCTTAAATCCTCCTGAATCCACACTAATTTCTGTTTTGCAGATATTTTTGTCTATAGCTAGCTGCCTTCTGGGGAAAGAACAGACACATATGCTATTATCTGGTGAATGCTCAATCTCTGCGAAATAAATCTTCCTTTTCAAGCTTGTGCAAAAACATACAGAAAAAAGTTTATTGGAAAAAAAGATATCTGTTGATATTCAGCAATTGATCATACTATGGTTAATCACTCATTACGGTTAATCACCTTATAAATTTCTAACTCTTTGGATATTAGTCCTTAATTGCAAGCAAGGAAAAAGCAATTTAGAGCTAATGAAAGCTGATTAATAATTTTTGAAAGATTCTTCAGTTTGAGACTGAGGAGTAAGGAAGACACTATGGGTAGATTTGTAAGAGTGGCTTGTAGGAATAAGTGGTTTCCTTAGTGCTGCTGTGATTTGGAGGCTCTTTATGAGAAGCACAGTGGCAGGAATGTGCACATTTCTGGGCAGTGATTGTGCCTCTCTGTGTGGAGGCAGAGCCATGAGGGCTGAGCTGCTTGGGGCTGCCAGTCACAAAATTTGGTGGCTTTCCTGGTGGAGTGAGGTGGGGATCCATTTCTAACTGCTGCAGCTTTACTGGGTGATCATTAACTAAAAAGATTGTTTTATACATATGTGGAGTTGAAGCATTGGCAGGACTGCTTTTTTTATGTAAGGGCTGCTGCTTCTTCTCTTTTGATAATGGCCAGAAGTGACCTAATTCTGGATTTTTTCTTAAGTGGAACTCAGTTCAGTCAGTTGCTATGGCTGGCTCCTGCCCTCAGCAAGCAACCAACCCACTCTCAGGAGTATGAAGGATGATCCTGCAGACAGTGACTGCATTAGAATGCAGGAGAGCTGGCCTCTGCCCCTCTGCTTTAGCCTTTCCTTGTCAATTTTGAGCAAATTCATTACAGTGCTTCTGCTAATTCACTGTAAAACAAGAGGAATTCCCTGGAACCTTGGTTTGTTTATTTTTATTGCTTTCTCTTAGGAACATGATTTATCTCTTGTGGAATGGGTTCAGCAGTGACTATTTCAAGCATGCAGCTATTTTCAGAAGAGTTGCTGCAGTCCAGATATTTGTAAGGCTACTTTTGTGGAGTAGGCAGCTCAGTGCCCCTCTTGTAGAGTTTATCACTGATATCTCTCTATCGGCTATCTCTGATATCACTCTATCAGCTTATCACTGGTAACTCAAATTCCATGGCATTCTTGCTGCAGATAGAAGTGTTGTTTTTTATTATTACCTTTTCAACACTCAGCTGTTGTTCCAAAACTCTGGAAAGGCTTGAAATTTTGATTGCATTACATTGTCCTGAATTGAAGACCGGTGAAAATGGTGTCTTGTACTTTAATCATTATTTATGATTGTTGAACAAGAGCTCTGTAAACAAAGGAAGCTGCTGTTCACCTAAGATAGCATTCCTCTTATCTTGGACACAGGAATATTATTATTTTGGAGGAATTAGCCACTCCTACAAATCTTTTTTCCTTCCCTTCCAGATCTGGCATATTAAGGTGACCTGAATGTAAATAGTTCCTTGTCTGTAAACACACACATTCATCATCTTACTGATCATGTTTAGAAGGCATGGATGAAAATGTCTGTGCAGCCTTATCACAAAAGTGAGCATTGAGTTTGTCTGGTGGCCACCCAAGAAAAATGGATGTTGCAGGTGTTTCAGCTTTTCTTGAGCATGTGTGTGTGTTATTAAACCCATAATCCACCATTTGTGACTAAGATTTACAAAATAACAATGTAATTGATCTTGTTCAACAGCCTTAGTCTGCCCTTCCAGGTTTGGAAAACAGTACTGCTCTGCCTTTGAAAACATGACAAATAAGTAAAAATGCCTAATGCTAGAGAAACCTGACTGGGAATAGCTTTGGGAAAGGCATCATCAGTCTGCTGTTTGGGGTTCTGAATGTTGATTGAAGTGCTAGAAATGTATAGCTCTTGGTTTTTGGGCCTGTTTTTTTCTTTTTTTCTCTCTTTTTAATATTGCTTTAAGCATTGGTGGGGAGAAAACTTGATGATTAGGATTTAAGTACTGCTTTCAAATACAGGTTTTCTGAGAGTACTGGGAGGGGTGGGAGAAGGTGTTTACTTTTTTTCTGTGTGGGTTCATGAGCAAAATGTGTCTTAATTAAAAAACAGTAAGAGTAATCAGACAGCAAAATAAGCCAGGGATTGAATTTAGGGTATTTAAACTGCTTTAGGCAGCAATAGCAGCCTTTGTGCTGTAAGTAAACATGAAATTGTACCAGGGCAGAGAAAGCTCCTGCATTTCCACCTTCCACCAGGCTTCAGCTGGCTTTGAAAGGGAACAATTCACTTGCCAGCAGGTTGGCTACTCTGACCTGCAAGCCAATTGGATCCAAAATTGTTTATGGGGCTTTATAAACTTGTACAAATCCTTCCTAATGTGACTCTGTGTCTTTAGATACTGGCCAAGGATGTACTAATGACAATTAGCTTCATCCATCATATTGAGTAGAGGGAAATATGGCTGCTTTGGATTAGGAAAAAAAATCCCATTTAAGAAAGAAGAGCTTGTGCTTGGATCTGACAGGGGATGTGTACTTTGAGCTTCAACTCCCATGTCCCTCCCAGAGGAGGAAGGGTAGAGGGACACTTTCACCTGATTCTTGGTGCCCTTAAATTCTTTCCTGCCAATAACTCTTCCTAAGGCTCCTACAGCCACAGTGCATCCCTGGGCCAAGGTTTGTAAGGAAGTTCTTTGCCAGCTGAAGGCTGCTGCAGCAAGCCTGCCTCTCCTGGAATGCAAAGCAGATGTCTGTCAGCAGACTGAAGTGCGAAGCAGAAATTACAAGGTTGCCATCTCTCCTTACCCAGCCTGCATTTCCTCATGCTTAAAACCTTATTTTTTTTCTTTTTTTTCCCCCCATATCTGCCATTTAACTCAGAGGTAGAGTTATTTCCAGTTCTTAATCTATCAGCAAATATTTGTATATGCATGCCAAAGTAATGCTTAAGATTGCCTGTTTGGGTGATGCTACCCAATCCATGGGACTGAGCACAGTTTGGACCTGAAATGTATTGGCAGCTGGAGGAATAACTTAAAAGCTGTTTAGTTTTTGCTGTATGAGTCTCCACAAACTGGAGGTATTTATAATTTCCACTTGTAAAAGGTCACAACAGACCTAGAGAAACAGACAACAAATAACTGCAAAATTACAGGTAAATCAATTGAACTAATATCAACTGAACATAATGTGGAATTCTGTCTCCCAAGCACGCCTCAGGAGAAGCAGGGGCAAATAAATAGGCTTTGCAGCATGCCCTGAATACCAATATATCACAGCAAGGAAACAAATCTGAGTCCTGGAGAACAGGTATCATCTCCATGTCTGAGCACAGGTGCTCTGATTTCTCACAGAATGGCAAAGCAAAGTCCCTTTCTGCCTTGAACCTGGATTTGGTGCTTTTCTTAGCTGTGTAACAGTCTTCAGTCCTTCTGTTGGCAAAATGATGTGCTGCAGTATGCTT